AATTCTGGGAGTTGAAGTCCACACATCTTAAAGTTCCCAAGGTTGAGAAACACTGCCTTAGCAGGACCTGAGCTGATGGTCTCCCAGTTTCTAGTCCAGCACCTGAACCATTACCTCAAGCAGGGTCTCTCTAGATGCTAACTTCTGCAATTCCTTGCTGTAGTTATGTTAGCTGGGACTGCTGGGTGTTGTAGTCCACCACATCTGGAGGGCACAGGCTTGCCTGACCTTCCTGCACGCCCTGCTTTGAACATTGCTGGTGGTGGGTACTTACTGCTTCTTGTGACCTTCTCCAGCCAAAGCAGATGTTTTCCGCTAGACAACTCTCCCTTGGTCTTGCTTTTCTGTCCTAAACCCTGAGTAAAAGGATCTGCTTTTGCATCCATGCTTCATCTCTGCCTTTGTCTTTGTCTCCTTCTCCTCCTTCCTTCTTCTCTTCCCTCTCCCCTTAGGGGCCTTAAGCACATCCAACCCTCCCTGTGAAGGCAATTAAAATGACAAGTTCTTGGCTGTCTTTCCTTCTCCAGCTGAGCTCCGTGCCAGGCGCTGGCAGGCAGGGACGTAATTATAGGTTGATCTTCCTTCACATTCTCATGTCAGGCCTGGAGCCATCCCTGGTTAGATTCCACCACCTGTTCCCTTGATCCACTTTGAGAGCAGACTCAGGTGGTCCGCGCCAAGGTGGGACTAAAGGCGCCACTGAGGGACAAGAGGACTGCAAGGATTTCAGAAGTTTGACTTTAAATAAGTTCAGAAATCCTTTAAAAATAAAACCGTGGGACCCCCCCACCCCCCTAAACAAGCAACTTGGTAAACCAGGGATGTACAAGGAAAAGGTGGCAGGGAATGGAGTCCTATGTGACGTTGTGGCTGGTTGGTTCCTTAGCAGGACAATTCTTGAGAGAGAAGGATGCCTGGCAGCGTTTCACTAGGTGAGGCTGCAATTCGGCTAGAGAACTTGTGGGTAGAATGTTGTGGGAACCTAGCTGTTACCTTAATGTGTTTTGGAAACCAGGTTATCATGTCATTAAGACAGATCACGATTTATTTTGGGAGGCATCATGCATTAGTGTGAAGCCTGAATGGTGAATGAGGACCTGGAGTTGATTTTAAACTTGTGTGTATCTGAAGGAGATGGTTCATGACTTGGGGTTCCTTCTGAACTCCCAGCTCCTGGTTAAACAGCAGGTGGAAACCATGGTTGGGGGGCCTTGGCTGAGCTTTGGCTGGTGTGCCAGTTACAACCCTACTCGGGC